ATAATTGCAAACATACTGTGAGATCTCTCAGATATATCCTGCCAATCATGGTGTCTCATTAAGCCTGTTTATGTTTGGGAACAATCTCCATCACTATAGCAAGCCTCCATGAGCTAATTCTCCCCCCAGAATTGGAAAATAAACATATGTTTACATGTCAAAAAAACATAACATTGGATTGTACAATCTATTCCCAATGTGAATTGATCCTATATTCAATGAGGATAGTGGTAAGTATGCTGGGTCCACATGTTATACATAAACTAGCCTGAGAAATAGTGAGTATGGCAGTAAAATAGATTTGTTTTGGAATAGGGGTTATATCAGCATATCCAAAAGCAGATATGTTTTGGGTGGTAGTGTGGAATCTTACCATAAAAGGACAGTACATATCCCTATTTGGGAGACTCTTCTTTGATGCAGTGATGGGGAGGCTCACAGAGAGGTTACAATAGCATAGAAGTCTGCCTTAAAGGGATAATTTATATCCATATTTGGGACATTCTTCTGGAATGGATTTATGGGAAGGCTCACAATGAGGTCTGAAAGAGGCCCCCACAGAGGCTCTCAAAAAGCGTACAACGAGTATACAAATAGTACAAAAGAGGCTTTTAGGAAGTGTACAAGAAGTGTCAACATTTTTGAAATTATAGCATTAAATGTAGATTAAACCTTTGAAGAGGCTCTCGGCAGTGACTTTGGCTATATGCCAAGTATAGTAATCCAATTGCTACTGGGGGCTACAAAGGCTGGAGGGATGGTGGGTCTCTGAGACCTATTTCTCACGACATAAAAACCCCATCTGAAAGACCCTGAGAGCCTCCTCAAAGTGCTGCCTGAGGTGCAAAGGCGAGTTTTTTTTGAATATTCACTTCATTATTGACACCTGTCCATGCTACCAATCAACTTTGGTGCATGACAACGGTGGGCCTCTTTTTTGGCGCTCCACTTTATGAGTCTTTCTCCACCATTTACTACCTCCTTTGCATTCACTCTTCCGTTCACCGGAATGTTGAATATGATTGCAGGGGAGGTGTCCACTGAGAAGCAACTAACCTTACTAAATTTTAATAAGTGATTTCACTAGTGTTAATGTACCAGTGATAATGAAACAATGTATCTTCAATAATGCACTGTATAATGTGAGATGTTGGGTCCAGGTCTGCCCCGGAGGGCCATGGTATTGTACACTATGGTATACTATTCTCGTCGTTTTTGGGGTCCTCAGCCACCCACTTTTCGAGTCGGGGTCAACGACTTTTTTGCGCCTTAGGCGTCTGTACGCAATCATCCGGTACGCCGGCTGTCCGGCATTTACTGCGAAACCAAAAACCAATTTCAATTGTACTTCGTCCTGCATCCCGATTCTCCTTCTAGATGTGATGTATCTCTCTTTCTCGATAGCGTAGACAGAATCCTCCGCAGTGCAGTATTCTGAAAATATTCTACGTTGCGAACCTCGACACAGTTCGATATCTGGGAACGTATAAACCGCGCCAATTCCAATTATATGAATACGCAAATGTTGGGGGGCTGGAAACTGTCAAGGCTTCTTCATTCACTTGCACTAGAAGTCGAGTCTCGATACTACCGATGCTTCTCGAAAAAACGGAACCTTCAATTTGGATCAAACTCAATCACATCGCTCTTTTCTAGGCATACTTATTGGATTCCTCACTTTAAGCCATCGCTCATCACAACATCCCAGTTCAAGATGGATAGTACGCACCTGAAGTACCTCAAAGTATGCTTCTTTTCTGTCTCTCTTGTAAACTGCTGCGGTGCTCACGGATCTGGCAGGTATGAGAGAACAGGTGATTTTTCGATCAATGTTGTCGCCAAATGAGTACATTCGGTATGGAGTCCGTGCGACCGAAATCTGTAGGTGCCGTGAAGCGTAAATCTCCGTGGTGCTTTGGTATGGACTCGGGGCCCACCGTGATGGCGATAGCATCCTCGCGACAGCTGACCCACCAAGATTAGCTTATTATGTGGCAGTCCAGTTCCTGATATGTGAAGTTTGGAGACCGCGAGAGCATGCATGACGTTAAACTAATTCGTCCTCGTTCCAGCAAAGTCTGGAGCGTGCGTAGGACAGAATGCCGCTCTTCGATGCAGACTCAAAGAATCTAGAATTCCGTCTAAGACGTCCACGGCGTACTTCAATTCCCCAAAACATATTATCGTTACCGTGTTATTGGTGGGATTTTCTGTATACGACTTCTTACATCTTTATTCAAGTGTGCCTGTTTGGTTTCGATTCACGCCTCGCAATCGCAACACCACCCTCTTGCTGACTATGAACTACGTTAGCTCCACAATGGATCACTCTGAATTTAACCCCTTCCTGTATCATGATTCCGACGTAGAGTCTTTTGACTCGCACTTCTTGTCATTCTCTCGAGAATACACGAATCAGCAGCAGTTCAGCCCAAGTCTATCACCCCATTGGCAAGGTTTTGGGACACCGGTATGTCGTTCCTGATCCTGATCATCTTAAATTTTTGCATCTTATTTTTTTTATACCTTCAATGCAAGGAATCTATGCCAACTCCAGGCCTATCTCCTGATCTGACTGCAGACCAGGATCCATCTGTCTTTATTTCGACCACATTTTTTCCCGGTGCCGATATTAACCCACATCTATCAGACCTTGTACTTTCTTCCTCAGATTCGGTTTTGTTTTACGTGCACGCACATATACTGTTAGCCTCCTCGGATAACGGCTTCAATTCGCTGCTCCCATTTACCTCAGATAATAGGCTTTCGCGGTTTCACACTGGAGAAAATCATATTGCTGTTGCAGAAGACTCATCAAGTTTGAATATAGTACTCCACAATAGTTATGATATTTCCTCTGCTCAGTACTCGCCTTCTTTTGAAACACTCGTGTCTGCGGTTGTGTCTCTACACACTTACGGCATCTCCCTCGACCGTTGCTTGGTGCCATCGACACCTCTTTATAACTCTCTTCTGTCCCATGCACCTCTTCGGCCTCTGGAGTTATATATACTCGCTGCATCCTACGATCGGTATGAACTGGCAGTATCGACCTCATCTCACCTTCTGTCTTTTACCCTTTCCTCGCTCACGGATGACATGGTGGACAAGATGGGGGCAAAATACTTGAAGCGCTTGTTTTTCCTTCACTTCGGCCGTACCAGCGCCCTCAAACGTCTTCTTCTACCGCCTCCTCATCCACATGCCCCAACAAATTCATGTAGTTTTTCCGACCAAAAAAGTGTGTCAAGAGCATGGGCTCTGGTTGCTGCTTATCTTGCCTGGGATGCTAGACCTGGTACGGACTATTTGGTTCTGGGTATCCGAGTGTATGCTTATTTGTCGACACCTGTTACAAGATATGTCTACGCACACCATCAAAACGGCGTTATGTTCATTGGAGGAGCAAGTCGATTGTGATATCTGCCGAACCTCACTGAATGAGCGAATACGCGACCTGGTGATTCAGTGGTCTCTCATCAAAGTCAGCATCTCGTTTGTACGGTTACTTTATTATAGACTCACATTCCTTGGCAACAGCGCACCATATGAGTACTTTGGTCACCCTTGCCGAACACTGTTGAATCGATTAATGCATGCCCCTCGCATTTAGCGACCAAAAAAAATCACCACACATGCCCTTTTGCTCATATCTCCCAACCCCGCACCCGGGCCACACCCATGATAAATACCTTGCAACCCAGCCTGACAGACTGCTTTCATGTACATGTACTGTAATATAAGACCTGTGTTTTCGTAGTTTTTGATGTTGCTATCTAGGATTGACTTATGCATACCGATACCGTGTTTTTCATAGCCGCCCGCCATTCTGAAAACAACGTTTGAATATAATTTTACCCTTGCTCTTGCTTCATAAGGGCTTTCGAGCTGAAGTTTCTAGTAAGTAGTAAGTTGGTTTACGCTTGTGAGCCAAGCTGGTGGTTCCAAGATGCAGATCAGGCACATCCTGTAGATGTTTAAGATTCGAAATTACCTATTTTTCCAAGGACCGGGGAATTGGCGCACTGAAGAACTGAAGCTCATTGCAAATTATTGAGAGTTTCGATACCGATCATGATCACTGGGACTATTTTGATATCGATCTTGATTTGGACGTGGAAGTTACTGTATAGTACCGACGTAGTAGTAGCGTTCTCAGAGGTTCCTTGTATGAACTGAGAGCTGACCTGAGATGTACTTATATCTTTTCCCAAGCAACCAGTATCACATTCTTCGCATGCAGATAGGCAATGCTAATATAGGCTGCTTCTCCTTCTGTTCTGTTCGGTGACGGTACTTCAGGATGATACTTCAGGTCTTCAGGGTAGGACCACCTGGACCGCGTTCAGTCTCTAAATGGGATTTGCGAGCCTAGTCGACGCGCTTCGAGAAGAATCATTGATGTCCGTCGAAGTAAGGGGTACTCGATATCGAGAAATATGTGACCTTTGGTGTTCACCGTCGTACAGGAGTTCTACGTTTTACTACAATTGCCGCATCAACAAAAAAAAAAAAAAGTCCATACGCCATGTTACCGTTTATGGAAGTCATGCCACAAGTGCGTCACACATTGGACCAACTTCGAGGTGCTTTCAAGGTTTTGGTGATACTTATGTGTCAATCTCGATCTATCGAACTATGCCAATAATTGCTTCCATAACTGACAGATCGCACGTAACGCTTTGTGCACACTACGAGACAAGAAACTGTTAGTGAAGTGAAAATTCGATCTGAGTTACTTTCTCTCAATTCGCTGTTATATTACTAGAGAAAGGTGTCTACCTTGATGGTCAATACAAAGAAAAGAATTACAAATACATATGGCGCAGGGTCCAACGTTACAGAAAAGCAAACATCCCCACAAAGAGCGATAAAGGCATTAACCAACCTCGACAGAAAAGCTTACACCGCGATAGAACAGCCAGCTTATTGTGAATTTCTCCTTCTATAGCTCATCTCACTCGACAAACTTGCCATTTTTCTTATGCCAGCCTTCGATAGAGTCCGAACCGTAATTCTTATGCAAGCTTTTTGGACCTTCTGGTAAGCGCACATAGTCGGGCTTTGAGTTTGTTTTCACCACGACCTAAAGACGCAACACATAAAAGAATTTTAATACCCCATAACCCAATTTAGGTCTATTAGACTTACTAATTTCTCTGGAGATTCCAGTTCAGAGTCGATGGCTGAGGCGAATGGGTGTAGAAGCTCGGGCCTAAGAGTTTGCCATACACGCATAATTAGATCTACAATATTCGACAATTAGGAAGAAGCTACGCACCAACTTTCATCATACAACCAAAGCATGGCAGAGCACTTGTTGCAGAAATTTCTTTCAGATGAAGCGACTGATTCCTTTGGAGTACCGCGGTCGAGGATAGCTTTGTAAACACTGATGAAAGCATGGAAAGGACAGATTACTTCAACAACACGAATAGGGCAAACACGGGGACTTACCTGATGTTTTCTTTACCTTCAATTTTCAGTGTGCTGGAAAGAGCGCCAAGATTGATCGACCCTCCAACACCTCCCACTTTGCGACAAATAGAACAAACACAAAGCTGTTATCACACATGTTTAAATTACAAAATTGTAGACGAGAAGGCCTGCGAACTCACCTGATAAGGGACAGGGGTACTACTCTCAACAGTAAATTTCACGGCACCACAATGACAACTGCCCTTGAGCTCGACAGGCATTTTACGAAAAGAAGAGGTGAAGATGAACTGGTTTTTGTTGTATTGGATATGTCTGAAAGACGGGCTCTTATTTACGCGGTAGATATTTGCAGGTAGTTGATAGAAGAGACGATACATGAGTCGCCTGGGTCCTGATATACATGTCATCATGAATCGGTCCGGCCCGAGAGTTTTTCCATAGTGTCCTTTGGATCATAATCAACTAGGTTTCCTCTATCTCTGTATTATTCGTTCGTTAGTTCAACACTTGGCAGTGGGAAGTGGGGATGACTATACGCGCAGAGTGACTGCAGGCTCACTTGCTTACCAGGAGTGCCAGGAGTCTCATCGCAATGCTGTAGGGTGGGTGGTATTGCATCACAGCCACCTCGGCTGTTGAGATTCAGTCTCCGGTTTAAATTGATGTATATAAACCCTACTCCAAAGCTTTCTATTCTTCAGAAGGCTTGCCACGCTGGTCGTTTCGAAGATGTTCTACCGTCGACACAGTGCCAAAGACTCTTCGAGTCTCTGTTTCCTTCGAGATTATAATATCCATTCCTAGGAAATGTTGCGATGCCTTTGCTAGGTCGCCGCATGTCGACTATGTCTGGGACATACCCTTTCCAATGCATTTGCTTTGTTATCATCATTTGATGATTGTGGGATTTGATTCGAGTCATTGTAGATGGAAGGTGCGTTTTATAAATCTTTTTCGCGCACTTTTCGTCTATGATCTAAAAATTATACTGATTTTAATGAATACGACTCGCCTTACGGGCGGGAGTGACCTTTCTCTTATTTTCTGAGCCTTCCATAGTTACTTGTTTGGCATTTCATGGCTGACTTGTCGTTTTCAGAAGTTGACATCTGTTGTGGTTGTTCACTACGTGTAATTATCTGTCGTAGTGTTTTAACGATGATTAATTTCATTCTCTTTGTGATGGTTTGTTTCGTGCAATTCTTGAATTGAGGCTCTTCTTTTTTCTTGGAATCATTGAAATTAGCACAACATTGGCAACCTGTTCAACGGATGTAGCCCTTTTACATTGCGCAAACAAGTTGTTGAGCTTGCTACTTTGACCTTATATGACATTCTGACCGAGAGTACAAATCTCTCCTTGCTAGCCACCTGTTCACGAGCTCCAGTGATGCTTTTGGCTGATCATATGGGACCTTCGGCATTTGTTAAGCACGAGTACAAACAAATTAGAGCAGAGGTCATGACAACATACCATATGGCCTGAACCGCTAACGGTTGCGAAAGTGAGTCCTCGAGCGCTTCTGGTCTTCCCTGCGAATTTGCTATCTACTGTCCAATCGCGCAAGTCCTCGGTAACAAATTCTTGCCTGCCACTCCACTCCATCTCTAGTGTCCATCGCTCATTTCCTAGCCAATTGCAGATGAAATCTTGGTCCCCCACATAAATCAGGACGCGAATGTCACGCTCTAAAAGCAGTGCGATATGCGTGCGTGTAGGTTTCGTGATATACATCGAGGGTAGCACTGAAGGCATCCCCAACTTCGTCGGAGCACGGCTTGAAGCTCTGTACTTTGGCGTCAATGCCAATGGTTTCTCGTACATCCTGTCTGTTAAGGTATTTGACGACATTTCTAATAGAGTAAAACTAAGTAAAGCGTATGGACAGAAGAAACCCGGGTTTACGCACGCGATAACTGGGTAGCATAAGGTTTCCGTAACATTCCCTTCGCATGGTATCCTGATATCATATGGGTTTAATCCTGTAAATTTTTAGCTCATCATCAATTTGAATTCGCATTCACGAATAGATGTACCTGTTGCGTCAAAAGGGCCTTCCAGTTCTGTATCACAGAAATCTCTTGCAGCTTGACAGTTCATCTTATCGAACTGATCAATGCAAGACTCCCTCGTCCACTTCTGGCAGCGAGGCACCTGTGCCAAAGTCAAGCATACTTCTATGTTTACAAGGCTAGGGGGCGTACTGCTTGTTTCATACGTATGCATGCGCTGTATAAAGTACTTATCAGCTACAGAGTCAATGGTATTTTGGACGTGAATATACCTAATCGATTGGAACGGATGAAGACTACATTGAAAATCAACGTACGAAGGCCACAAGCTGTAGTAATCAGTTAAGCCGTTTCCTAGCCAGGGAAATGGTTTATTAGCTTTGGAAATTTGAGGCATGAAGGTTTACCACAATCATACCAATCATGATAGACGTTAGGTTGATCTCTGCATATTTCAGCTCCCTCAACCTGGCATTCTGGTCAAATACTTCAGATGCGAAGATGGGGATGTAGTGACCCTGGAAGAACGTTGATCAGACCCCCTATTTTTCTGGGTATGCTTGTGAAAAAACTACCCCATAAGATTCCGCAGCCATGTGGAACGGACGTCCCTTGTAGGTATGGCCCCCGTAAGAAATGAAGTCGTTAAAGAATATCGCAGCGAACGCAGCAATGTCTTTAGCTGCCTATTCGGTGGTGCTCTAGATGGAACGTATTAAGCATGACCGACAGCTAATAATACGTACAACGTTCTACTAACCACCGTCTCACCATAATCGGCATAGGAAAACCCTACACCAACGGGTTGATCGACGAAGAACACGTTCGCATTTTGGTTCCAAGCGTACTCATTTAGTGTTGTTTTCCCATCGTCCCCTAGAGCTCTGCACGGGCCGAGCTCCATGAGCATTCCTAAACTGGACGCGCATCCAGGACCTGAGAAAACTACTATCAGAATCAGCATGCAACAGTGTTCGAATACTAACTGACCTCCATTAGTCCAAAAAATGACATCGTCTGTTGCCGGGTCGGTTTTACTTTCATAAAAATAGAAAAATAGATGCCTGGCCTCGATATCCATGTATCCAGAGGTTACGCTAACATATAGTCAGAGCTGAAGCCTGGTTGATAGGCTGTTGGGAACTGTGTGTACATACTTCACCATTCCATCGCAGATGGTCGTGTTTTTCACCCGCATACTGTGGCTCGGGAATGCGGGATGGGTGAGTATCATGAAGGGGCTATCGGAAGAAGCGCTCGTGTGTTTCGTTGGCGTGGACGGTGCCCCATTGTAGTGCGCCGCGTGAGATTGTAAGAGTGGTATCTGAGCCTGCTCAGTTGCACTAGCAATAGCTAACGCGGATAACAAACCCAGCGTTTTCAGGAGCGAGGATAACATAGTGGTTTGCAGAAGAAGTCATGAGAGGCCGTGTTCAATCCTTTTATACATAGATTATTCGGTCCCGGCGGATCTCAGGATGTTGCCCAGAAGGATCCATTTCACTTCTTCGATCAGCCTGAAAGTCCTTTGACAGGAGGTTCCAAAATCCAACGCTGATAGGAGCATGGAATTCACATACCGTACATCGTACGTACAATCTGTACTAACACTGGTTATACCACACCGTGTACATCGAGGAGTGGAGTTTTATGGCGATTTCCTTCTCTCTTGAAAATACAGCTTAATCAAATCACATTTTATTGTACATGCTGGGTATGGACGAACCTTTATAGCTCTTCAAATTCCTCAAGGATAGCCTTCCAGCGCCCTCCGTGCCACGAACTCATCTCCGTCCATTGCTCTTGCTCCAAGAGAACCCTGAACCAGTTGATCCGCGAAGCTGTCAATATATCCGCATACGAGACTGTATCACCTAGAATCCACTTTCCTGTACTCTTTGCGTACCAATGATCTAATACTCCAAAAGACGTTTCGAGATCATTCCATATCTCTCTTCTCTCCTGTCCAGCTGGCAAAAAATCCTTCCACTTCAATCCATGCCTATGCTCTCGTGTACGTACATAGTGCATAGCGCTGACAGGATTCAATATCCCCGATGCCTTAACGGACATCATCTTGGTTGTGAAGGAGATGAGGTTCATAGACGCTGAGTCGAATGCCTTGATGAGAGCTTTGGTGTCTCCTGGGAACAGAGCTGCTGCTGAGGGATAGTTCTCATCAAGGTACTCAGCAATGGCAAACGAATCTGAGATCACTGCTCTCGTAGAGGGATCCTCAATGACAGGGAGGGTGTAGAGCCCACTTCCATCCTTATTGATGCCCGTGGGTCTGGCACCAATGCCTCTGAGCTGGGCCTCAATATCAGGATACTCTACCCATGTAGTCTTGAAAGGCAGGCCTTTGTATCTCAGACAATACCTAATAGAATGATTCCAGATCAACGGAACAACGGTGAGTTGTGCTTGACAATCTCATACACAACCATACCTCGCTTTTGCGGTATTAGGAGACCAAGACGTTTCTTGTATTTTGCAAGGGATGTCGTACAGATTGATGGGCTGCGAAATCGTCTTTGGCGCAGCTTTGAGTGCATGACTCAAGACAGACGAGCGAATCATGTTATACAAGATTCAGGAGTAGCGGGGTAAACTGAGAGCCTTGGGCTGGAAAACTGAACTCCGAAAACCAGCGAGTAATCAATGACTTGAAACTTTTTCCGTCCTGTCCACCACAGTGCTCTACCTTGGCCTCATTATATGCTATGTTTTACGCGATTATCTGATCTTTTCAAAGCGATAAGGCTCGGACGGACTCAGGGTTGGGAGAAAACAAGCGTCTTCCACTTTTCTTGTAGGAAGTCAAACACCTGTTATATGCGTGTAGATTCAGAGAACGGGACTGCACAGCTACGGATATTCTATCTTTGATCCACGACGCTATTCGAGTCAAGCTCACCAGTTTCCCTCAATGAGCGATTCTCGTCTTAATATTAGCGCTGATTGAAGTATATAAAGGTCGTACTTGTGGCGTTTCCCTCAACCTTCCTAGACTTAGGTTTCGAGTGCTCAAGCTTGGCCTTAATACGAAGTGGTGAGTAAAATTCATTACTGTCACGGTGAAGGTCGCTATGTTCGCCCTGTTTGGATATTACTGGCACCAGACGAGACCAGCCTTGTTATACATGCGGGTTGCTCAAAATGTGGCGTCGCATCGCTATCATTTCTCTGTCCATTGTCTTTTTTACTGTCATCTCGACTATCGGGTCTGTATTAAACATATCTTTAGTTAGAACTTCACAACAGCTCCCACTTGCTTACAGCTTTCATGGTTACCAACATGGAAGAGCCGTCAGACCAAGCTCCCTCACCCTCAACCCTGGCGCTCTCGCAGACTAGAGGGTATCAACAAGAGATGCTGGATGCCAGTCTCAAAGGCAATATCATCATAGCGCAGGACACTGGGTCAGGAAAGACTCGCATCGCTATCCTCAGAATGAAGATCGAGGCTGAATGTGAGCCAAATAAAGTAAGCCCATTTTTCGTATATCATGCCTTCATTATAAAATTTCACCTTCAGGTCTCGTGGTTTCTTGCACCTACAGTTGCTCTATGTCAGCAACAGGCTGATGTTATTAAACTGGATTTACCTGTTTCGGTTGGCATGATATCAGGTGCTTGTGAACCCATTCAGTGGAAGGAATCCGCCCTTTGGAGAGGCGTTCTGCAAAGACACCGTATACTTGTCACGACGCCACAGGTACTTTTGGATGCGCTTCGGCATGGATATATTAACCTTGGTCGGGATATCGGTCTCCTAATCTTTGACGAAGCACATCATGCCACGGATAACCACCCTTACAACTGCATCATGAAAGAGTTTTACTTCAAATTGCCTGTACGTCAATCAGATCTTGACGATGCAATATCTCGTGGCGTTCAGCGTAAGTTCAGAAACGAGCGCCCTATGGTTTTGGGCTTGACAGCGAGTCCTATTTTTGGAGGCGATCCGCAACACGCGTTTCGGTAAGAATTATCTCGAGAACCTTACAGTAGTCGCTAATATGTTTACTCCAGAGTACTTGAATCAAACCTCGATGGTATAATCCGAAGTCCTCAACAAAATCGACAGGAGCTGGCAAAGTTTGTTCACAGGCCCATTTTTCGGCATGTTCTCTACAACGCACCTGCATCCGATATTCAGTTTATGTCATGCAACCTCATGGGGTTGAATCAAGTTATCAGTGGCATGAATATCGAAGAGGATCCTTATATTTCCTCGTTGCGTGAACAGCTCGCAAAGTCAGCCCCTGGTCCAGAGCGGATCCGCATCGATCAAAAACTTTCAAAAACACTACAAAGTAAAAGCTCTTATACTCACAAAGGGCTCCGTGACCTTGCAACTACCGCTCAAGACATCTGTTATGACGTTGGCCCATGGGCAGCTGACTGGTACATTGCGAAAGTCATTGAAAAAGCGCTGGACAACGAAACACCCTTTGACAATATTATAAGCGTTTGGCAGGATAAAGAGAAGAGGTACTTACTGGATCATCTTCGCCAGGTTGTGGTCATGCCTACCTCATACGACGCCGAGGATGTCACGGCCGACGCATCCGAAAAAGTTAAGGTTCTCGTACAAAGCCTGCTGGACGAGAAGGCTTGGGCAGAGTCCCATAACGAGCCTTACAGCGGTATAGTCTTTGTAACCCGCCGCGATGTTGTTCTCGCTCTCACTGAGGTATTAGCCCATCATCCTGAAACCTCCCAGCGTTTTAGAGTAGGCTGTCTCCTGGGAAGTTCGGACAGTGCTTATAGACGATCGTTCCTTGATATCACCCGCACGCTATTGAAACAATCACAAGCCAATACTCTCCTTGATTTCAGATCAGGTGACATTAATCTGATCATTGCTACTGCCGTCGCAGAGGAGGGCCTCGATATCCAGGCGTGTGGCAATGTCATTCGCTGGGATGCCCCTAACAATATGGCCAGCTGGGCGCAAAGTAGAGGCCGAGCACGCAGGGAAAGAAGTTCTTTCGTCCTCATGTTCCAAGCCGGAAGTGACGACAAGCAACAGGTTATGAAATGGGAACAACTAGAAAAACAGATGATGGACCTATATAGCAATGATCAAAGGGACACAGGAAACACGCATGATGAGAACGACGAAAGTACTTTAGACGATCATGGTGATTTAGAATTCCAAGTTGAATCCACAGGGTAAGCCATATCATGTCCAATTTTTCGTCTGATGTCCTAATATGCTCTTGTAGAGCTTTACTAAGCCTACAGTCTGCCGTTTCTCATCTGAATCATTTCTGTTCTATCCTCCCAAATAGCTATCGTGTTTCACACTTACCTATATACGACATAGATCCGCCTGATATGCCAGAAGGATGGCACTCGTTTGAGCACAAATCAAACGTACCGCCTTATCCAGGACCATTCGGATGCACGGTTACGTTGCCCAGATTGCTTCCTTCCGAACTTCGTGTGTTTTCTGTCAAGCGAGAATACCCATCTAAACAATCCGCGATCCAGCATGTTGCCTTCAATGCATATCTGGCCCTTTACAATGCTAAATTACTCAACGACAACCTTCTTCCGTTAACCAGCGTAATTGAAGAGAATCTAGAGGAAGAAGTAAAAGCTTTGCTCCGGGACGTGGAAAAAAGATCGGGTACCGCTACAGTCCGAGGTCAACTGGATCCATGGATTCCTACCAAAATAAACAATAAGTGGTGGTCCACAGAATTGGTTGTGGATGGGCTGCCGTCGTTACGCATGTTAACGCTGGTCAAACCTACAATATCCGCCGAACAAGAGATGCCTACATTATACCATCCCCTGAGGGGAGAAATGAAAGTTAGGTTACGTCATCTTGGCATCGCTAATCTGTCCCCAGGCGACTTGCAAAGTGCGCAATGCTATACTCGACGAATCTTTTGGGGTCTATCTGCTGCTCGGATGACATGGGACAAATTAGACTTTGCCTATAACTTTCAGTGCATGCACGATGAAAACGGTTCAAAGTGGGCTGAACGCCGAACATGGTTGGAGAAACGGCATGATAAGTCGAGCGGCGATTCTGTTGACTTCACTATGGCACATGCCGTGCCCTTCGGCGAAGCATTTTCTTTCCCCAACGACATCACTTGGGTTCGCGATAGTGGTGATTTTTCAGCCAGGATCTATCGATTTCTCTCATGGAAACATGACCCCCTATCTCCAGAAGAAGAAGAATTTCTGCGATTGAAATATGCTCGTTTTACAGATGTGCAGATTACTCTGCCTGTAATAGTCGCGGAACCACTCCCTCGCAGAGCGAATTTCTTACTCACCCGCGGCTTGTCGAGCTCTGCGCCGGCTGAAAAAACTGTGCTCCTTCTTCCGCGTTATACCAGGGTCGTTCTCCTCTCTCCAGCAGAGACTGAATATGCCCAGATTTTGCCATCAATTATCCGCCATCTGTCAGTAATGACAACGGTGATTTCACTGCGAGATACCTTATTTACCGGCACTCCTCTTTCGAAAATTCCATTACCCCTTCTAACTACCGCTCTTACGGCACCCGTATCACAGGGGCTTATCAATTACGAGCGCTTGGAAACGCTCGGAGATGGAGTTTTGAAGTTCATAGTCAGTATACACCTCATGGCTGCTTTCCCACACTGGCATGAAGGTTATCTCACCAGGCGAAAGGATCATGGCGTCTCGAATGCACAACTGGCCAAGAATGCCGTTTTGAAAAAGTTGTACCGGTGGATCATCCGTGATCGGTTCACCCCAAGAAAGTGGACACCACGATATTGTACGCCACCCCAAAATGAGGACCAAATCAAAGAAGAAGTTGAAGTTGAAGGTTCCGACTCGCGTAAAAGTCGAGCGGTTATCGAAGAGTTATCCACAAAAATGCTGGCTGATGTGGTCGAATCTCTCATAGGAGCGGCATATGAACACGGAGGGTTTGACCTTGGTATCGAATGTGCCAAGTTTTTTGGGCTGGGCCTCGAGTGGTGGGGGCTTGCTAAGTGTGTAGAGACGGCTCTGTCAGTAGTCGAAACCACAGATGACTTTCCGGCGCAGGTCACAGACGTAGAGCTTATGCTTGGGTATAACTTTACCCGCAAACTCCTGCTCATCGAGGCTTTAACTCACGCGAGCCATCAGTTCGACACTAGAACTGTATCTTACGAGCGGATGGAATTCCTCGGTGATTCTATACTCGACATGATCATCACGGATTATCTGTATCATGTTCCAGGGAAAGGGTACAGTCCAGGCCATATGCATATGCGCAAATCTTCCGTTGTTAATACTCATTTCCTGGCATTTATCTGTCTGCGGAACTCGCTCAAGGTTGACACCAGTATGCCCGGACCGAACCATGAAGGCCGAATCACCTTGAATACGCAAAGTCAAGAAATATATCTTTGGCAGTGCCTGCTCCACTCTAGCCATACCATCCTTGAGGATCAGAAAACGACGTTCTCGCGTTACAACAAGGTTAAAGCTCAGATCGAGGATGCATTACAGAACGATTCAATATTTCCCTGGGCGGCTTTGACAAAACTTCAGGCTCCCAAATTTTTCAGTGATATGATAGAGAGTCTTATTGGAGCAGCTTATCTTGACTCTGGTGGCAATATCAATGTCGTACGGGAAATCCTCAGAAAACTTGGTATTTTACCGACCCTAGAACGCATCGTTCGAGATGATGTTGACGTTCTTCACCCTGTTTCGCGAGTCTCCTTATGGACGCAGCGCGAGTACAAGACGATCGAGTACATCTTCAACGAGGAAGGGGGAGGTGTCACTTGTTCCATACTTATAGATGGCAAGGAAGCGGTTCGAGCTCATAATGAGCGCAGAGGTCATGCAGGTCAGGAGGAGGCAAAATACGAGGCTGCAGAAAAAGCGATCAAATTCTGGCATCTCCATGATGAGTTTAAGGATTATTGATGCTGTGCGCAGATGGATCTTTGCTGGAGTTCTCGGATTATGAATTGTACAGTAAGCTTTGGAGCTCCTATTCTCAGGTCATGTTCATTACACATTTTGTGGAGAGATAAAAGCACATACGGTAGTGTTGAGGACATATTCGTAGGTTGTTAGGGGAGGCAAGATAGTGAGGGCATAAATTCTTTAAATTAGTTGAAGCTTCGAAAATTCCAGGCAGGTACGTTTGCTACAGATGAGTCAGTCTAGCCTAGCTGTAAATTAGGTCAGCAACGGAGACTACGGAGGCGTTCACATTTCTGCATAGCAACGAGAGCAATATTTATTGAGCGTAAAACTGCCTTGTAAAACCATTAATTTCCCTCTGATTGAAGAATCAAGATGGCACAACCTATTATCTTGTATGACATCCCAAGCACGATGCCAGGGAAGGCATTCTCGAGCAATACGCTCAAAGTTAGGTGAGATTGATCGTCACCACTCACCAATCATATCTTGCTGCGATGGTATTGATGTCATACGCCACAGGTACTGCCTGGGTTACAAAGGCCTTGTTTTCAAAACGGTGTGGATCGAGGCCCCTGACATCGAAGAGCGCATGAAAGTTATCGGGGCGAAGCCTACCCGGGTTAAATCAGACGGGAGCGATTTCTATACCCTCCCTGTTATCGAGGATCCTTCCACTGGAGCCATCGTATCCGATTCGCTGGTCATCGTCGAATATCTCGACAAAACTTACGCGTCTACGCCTGCTGTCCTTCCGCCAGATACGAGGGCTTTGATGCATGTCCTTGATTCGGCGATTATAAGCGCCATCACTCCAACCTTCAAGATGATGGCTTCGAAATGCAAACCTAAGCTGTACCCCAGGAATCAGGAGTACTATGTAAAGGTCTACAAAGTTATATGTCGTGTTGAAAATTGGGATGATTTGTGGCCTGTTGGCCCAAATCGTGAAGAGGATTGGCGCAAATTCAAAGTGGCTCTTGCAACAATTGATGGGTGGTACACGAAGAGCGACGGCGAATGGATGATGGGAGATACTTTCTCATATGCTGATATCATTGTCGCTGCATGGATAAGATGTACTAGCCTGATACTGGATGAGAGCGAGTGGGAGGAAGCGAGCTTGTGGAATAACGGACGATGGAGAAACCTACTAACAGACTTTGATAAGTACCTCATTCTTGACTGATATGTTGTAGCATTTGTACCACGATCGTTATGGTATTTACCATAATCATATTTCTTAGTGATTCTGTCAATGCGAATCGGAAGATCCTGAGTCAGGTCAATGGTCCTACTATTATGAGAAGTGTCATGTGAATGAATTTAAGACAACTACCGTCATGCTGAAACTGACTTGTAATGCTGTTATACTGTAGAACACTCACGTGAGCAAGGGCAGTCCATGTAAAGTTCGTCTTTAAACCTGATATTGAAGCCGTATCATCTGAACATAAAGATATATAACGGGAGTGACAGAGATATACTTACAGTTGCTGTCCATTGAGTTTCTCTTTCCTTCTACTTCTGAGCGAAAATGGCGCCGTCAATTGTTCTGGACGATATTTGCCAGTAAGCTGCCTGGACAATCTTTTTCAGCAAATCTTCAGGAAACGAGGTGAATAACAAGACTCACAATAAACATATACCGTGTGTCGGAGCTAAGCCAACGAGGAATGAACAGGACGGTAGCACTGTTCATACTGCCCCCGCCATTCAAGACCCTTCCACTGGAACCACAATATCTGATTCTTTTGCTATCGCAGAGTACCTGGAGATGATCTGCCCTGCGCCCGCCGTCTTCCCTTCAAACAGCGCTACGTTATTATCTTCCAGCCTGCGAAGGTCAATGCTGTAGCTCCGAGTAACATTCTGCTGATAGCCAAGATGAACGGCAAGATGAACCACGATTATTTCGAGGTTGATAGAGGAAAGGTTGGGCATGAAATACGAGCAGGTTTCTCCTCTTGGACCGCAGCGTGAAGAAGACTAGACGAAACCGAAATGAGCATTCGCTGTCGTCAATAAATGATACGGAAAGATAACAAGCAACCACACCACGAGAGACATTATCGTGCGCGGATATGATCGTCGCGGCATGGATAAGATGCTTCAGCATTGTGCATTGTATTCTGACTTCCTAAGGGGCTGTCACGTGCTGAGTCAGGTGACTCTGACTTTGTAAGCCTGTGGAGAGTCGGACAACCCAGTCGGAAGGGGAGCTGGAAACGTTTCCCCACAAGATAGACGGATAACGTCGAAGCACAGCCGAGTTTTGTCTATTTGTTTATCAAAACCACTAGTAGGGAAATCGCTATTCCCCCACCTTGAGACGGCGATGCATGTTTCCGAAGGCAGTCTATCAGGTGCTGGTGATAAATCACTTTGTCGCACGTGGTGGGATGTGACTCGAACGCGGTAAACTGTCCGTATTTATACGAGACAACCGTCTGTTATTGCGCCCATCGTATCATAGCTGATCAGATATGGCGCAACCCATTATTCTTTACGATGTTCCCAGTTCTCTGCCTGGCAAAGCATGGTCCCCTAACATGCACAAGGCTAGGTGGGCAAACATGCTTTTGATTCTCGACGCTGACCTAATGTTCTCGTTGTGTTCATAGATGGGCTTTGAGCTACAAAGGCGTACCGTTTGAGACGGTCTGGATCGAATATTCGGATATCCAAACGCGTATGAAAAGCATCGGCGCCCAGCCTACCACCAAAACGAAAGATGGAAACGATCTCTACACACTTCCGGTCATTCAGGATCCATCGACCGGCGCAATAGTGTCCGACTCTTTTATCATCGCTGAATACCTCGACAAGACGTATCCATCTCTGCCCACGCTGTTCCCTTCTAGCAGCAAAGCATTGATTTATGTGCTCGACAAAACATTTACTGCGAACGGTTTCCCTCTGGTCAATATGATGTTGTTGAAGGTCGTACCCCATTTGCTCTCGCCGACTAAAGAATATTTCGTGAGCAGAAGGGAGTATGATCTCGGATTGAAGATGGAGGAATGGTCGCCTGTCGGGCCTAAGCGTGAAGAACACTGGGATCACTTGAAGCAATCACTCGACGTTGTTGAAGGATGGTATGCAAGAACCCCAGGACCATGGATTATGGGGGACACATTTTCACATGCCGACATCATCATTGGTGCACGCCTTGAATGGTACTACACCATTCTTGACGAAGATGAACGGAAGAAGTTAACTTCTTGGCATGAAGGAAGATGGGCGAAACTGTTGACGGAAGTTGGGAAAGTGTGCAACGTGCTCTAGGCATGGTTTATTTATTATCTTGCCTATCAACAACGCAATCAAATCAGCTTGTTGACTTCAACCAACCAAACCCGTGGGAGATAATTGGATTACTGAGTGATGTGCAGAAGCTGAAGCGCTGACGGTTCCGGAGTGACAAGGTCAGGTCTAGCGGAGTAATTGAGCGAGCGTTTTTCTAGTAGATAACTTGTTGTCTTCTCCGAATCGACGATGATATCCTGGTTGAGAAAGCAAGAGTATATATTATTATCTTCAAGAGTAGGAGATAGAGGAGATATTATCAAAGAGATAAGCAATGATACTAATGCAACACATACAATAGATCTTTCCAAATATTCCAAGGTACGGCAATGTTCATTCCGAGGGTTTCAACTATAGGGTGCAACGGTCCAGGAGGATTGTGGCAGAACATGATGTCACCTGAACCACTCTCGAACCACGGCTTCGACATAGGGCATAGTCTCGGTCGTCAACAGTAAGCAACCTGTCCTTACCTACGACAGAATTGATATCTGCTCATGCTTCTTGGAGGTGCGGAAACTTTTGCCATTGCGAGGATAACTTTGAGGAGAGTAGAAGTGGCCTGATGCTTACGTCCAACCAACCCTGTAACAAATGGTGGAATGAGAAATTAGACGTGACCAATGTCGTGATACAGGGGGTATAAGCTGCTCACAGTTCCGTTGTAGCAAGGTCTAGTCTGATCTTCTTTTTTTATTTACAGCCCAATGTGCTGTGCTCGGTGGTCGTGGATGAATAGTAAGTAGTGCGAACCTAAAATTTCCCAATGCATTGAAGGATCTTCGACCTCGCCCTTGCTAATACTGACGAGCTCTCGGTGGAACGACTGCCAGCAAGTCTGGGCAGTTGCAATCTGAAGACTCTCGTTTCATGAGAATAGCCAAGAATGCAATTCACATACTATAGTATGATAATAAATGACTGTTGTAAAGTTGTTACCTTGTAAGAACGATGTACTAACGAGGTGGCTGGTATGTTTGTACTTAATTTGCAATCTCAGAATACGACAATGAGGCTCTCTGACCGTGACGCCAGTGAATGCCACTACCCGCCATCGCAGTAAAATTCCATGTATCCAATCATGGGGAGTTCAACGCTTTTGGATACATCGAAGCAATCGTTTGTGTCTAGAAATACAGGTGGTGCTATTTCGTATGATATCGTGCTATCGTGACAAATATTCAGGCAGATTCAAGGCTGTCCAGAGCTCTCGATAAACCCTTAGGAGTAGCGCAGGCATCCCAAGATTTTCAATGCGAAGTGGATCACTACCCAAGGCATTTTATAGGGATTATTCGAATTCATGATAGCAATCATATCTCGTGATGTGGAACGAGCACACGTCAAGAATGTGGCTTCTGAATTTCCTAGTGATTCACCAGTGGCAATAACCCCTTGAAAGCCCCTCCCAACGTACAGTTTAATGTCGCTCTTGAAACCAGCGATTCTCCATTCTCGACTTTCATGCAATGGATTGAGCGGCACATTTTTTTTCTCGCATACACTTCTCGTGCCGTTCATTCGTCCAGCCTTCTTGCACGATTGAAATCAACTAAATGTGTTCGACGCCATACAAGCGCATGGTGCTTACCTCCGTGGAGCCGAGGCCATCCGTACCGTCATGACCATAATCTATCCAATGCGCGCTTTCTGCAGTCGCTGATTTACTTCTCCTGTTAATATCGTGTGAGGCGGCTATCTTTACTTTCAAACACAAAGAGGAAGGACGTACTGTGCCGAGCTGTGTTCTCCATCCAAGTATACGTTGGGCTGACTACGTGGTTTGCAGCTCCCGGCAGCCACTGTAGTGGGTTTTGGATCTGTTTGCGCTATCCATCGTTTGGGCGCGTTGTCTGTCTTCCGCCCGTGTGCATGGGTAGCATAGGCATATTCGCTGCCATGCAATGCTGTCTGGCAGCACATCGTGGCAGTCCTAGTGTTCAGAAGGTTTTCCATATGATAGCCCAAAAATGGTTGAGGAACAGCCAGCACGCTCCCCAGTAACGCTAGCCCAGCTAGCAGTGTCTGTCTCGATATTTTGGCCTTGGCCTTCATTGGTGTTTTCAAAAGACTTGGGACGACTAGATTAGTGTAGAGGACGGTGTGCGTGGGTATGGATATGGGGTGATTCAGCCCACTTCGCGTTTATGGCTCGCCCCTTTATCTGTATACGCTTTGGCTTGGTGGACCAAGGCGCTTTGTTCCCCGTTTCTTTGTTTCACCTTCAAAGCACCAAGGTGGGTGGCTCAGGGTTTCCACGATCTTGGGAGCGTTATGTTGCTATACATTGGAAAGGGCGAGGGTGAGATTTCTCGCAACTGAGCGTTCTATAAGCTGGCCAAATCGCGTGCCCTAGGCGTGTACGAGTGCTGCAGTGATGTGCTTGTGATTAGCCTCATTGCTTTCATGTCATCAGTCATAGTACTATTGTACGTTCTTAGTTCAGGAATATGTCGCTCAGGTGAGAAGCTTCCTTTATCCTATTCCTCTCAGGCTTGCTGATTACCTTTCCAATAGTAGCCAATCATCATGTCAATTAAATGACATATTAACCATGTGCATTGTATACCTGTGCAAGAACCGACCGATAGAAGCAGCTCGGCCGCGCCCCATTTCAATTTCACGATCGACTTCTGCAAGCATCTAATTCTTTCGAGGTTGCCCTTGACCACTTCGATGAGCACTTCAAGCGTACGAGCGAAGGCCCTGTCTTCGTGCGGGTATTCGCTTGGAGAAGAGTAGATTTATGTAAATCTCCACGGGCAACACCTCTTCTCGGTTTAAACGTCTTCAAATGCGCGTTGGGGCTTGTCCGTCCAATTTGCCCTGATAATGTATTTTACACCTTAGGCAGGACAAGACTGGCATAAATCCCAATTACTTTCTGTCGAGAAAGCATTGATTCGGTTCCATCTGGTAGATCGTAAACCGTTTGGACAGAGTCGATATAATTCTTCCACTCTTCCTGGTTATATCACGATATCATCCCACTACTACAGTAGCACTAATGCAAGCGTCGTGCAAGCGATAAGCAAGGATTATGTATGTTGTACTTCGAGACACTTCGGGCATGTGATCACATAGCTATAGGTTTACGGTTCCTTGTATCTTATTGACTTTCTACTAGTACTAGTCCATCCCACTGCAGGTGACTCCAGTAACTTACAGGACGGAATTAAATGTCCAAGGATCACTACATATGCAAGTCATTGTCTTCCCCGTTGTCGCTAGACATGTATGTGTACTTTGAGAAATATATCTCTGAATGCGACTCTGGTCCCGACGCGTCGATGAGCGGGCCGTATGCCTCCGAGCCATATGCTACAGGTCCATGATAACAGAGAACACGAAAGCCAGCATAAATTTATCCTACAATCCTTCCACGCCTTAGCATTCCGTATACCTCGAGACCGAATAACGTGTACGCGAATTCAAACAAAGTACGTAAGTGTCAAGGGCACCCTTTCACTCTGAACCACCATGTTGTCGCTATCGCTCCTCGGTCTGCTGGCCTTTGTCGTCGCGTCTAACGCGGCCAGCCAGTCTCAGTCGGTGCTCTCACCAAATGTACCGCGTTATGGACGCGAGAAACAGAATGTTCGAACGGGCACGAGTTCCTACGTACAGTCATATACAGCGCCGTATGACGATGGTTTGTTCACACCAATGGAACATTTGGGTGTGCTATCTGAGACGCAGTTCACAACGCTGCAACATCCTTTCTTCCCCAAGCACAGCGTACGCATCAAGAAGTCTGCCTTCTGCGATGATACCGTCAAGTATGCGGTTTCGTTTCTGAAGATCCGACAAGCTCCCTTCTGACTTCTGTCCACATTAGTTCATATACTGGTTACATAGACATCGAGGCTAGACATCTCTTTTTCTACTTCTTTGAGAGTAGAAACGATCCTGCGAAGGACGATGTTATCTTTTGGACTAATGGAGGTCAGTCTGCGTGATATCCTCAAAGCATTCCATTCTGACGCCTGTTTGATATACTATATAGGTCCTGGATGTTCTTCTAGTTTAGGACTTTTCATGGAACTTGGTCCTTGTAGAGCCCTCACGGCTAACGGGACTACTTTCCATCCAGAGTCTTGGAACTCGAATGCAAACATATTCTTCGTTGACCAGCCCATTGGCGTAGGTTTCTCGTATGCCGACTATGGGGAATTTGTGGTCAGCCAACCACGCGACGTGTCTGCAGTTGTGCATAGCTCACGTTTGGCATGTCTTATAGAGCACGACTGATGAAGCAGCAAAGGATATCGCTGCTTTCGTATCCATCTTCTTTGAGCACTTCACTCAGTTCAAGGGTCGTGCATTCCATATGGCGGGTGAATCTTATGGAGTGAGTAGAATAAAAATGGGTACCAGTACAGTGACTGATTTTCACTTTCATAGGGTCGATATATCCCTGAGTTTGCTTCACACGTGTATGATCAGAATGTCGAGCTAGTAGAGGCAGGCCTGACACCCATCAATCTCACCTCTGTAATGATTGGTGCGTTGTCTTCATATTCGTACTCTACATATCGGCTGAGTATCTATGTATCCTATTTCTAGGAAACGGCATGACTGATTACTTTACAATGTGGCCGTCATATGTCGATATGCAGTGCTCTCCAGCGTCCGTGTTCCCTTTCCAAAGTATTAGGTGACCTACATCCAGCAGTTCCTTGCATTCTTACTAAATGCCCTCTGTACAGCTCGTGTGTTCGCATGAAGCAGGCGGTAAGTGTTGCAGTAGTCTGCTTCATTGCGCAATATTCATCAGTGGCTTCATATCTAGATCCCTAGGTGTCAGAAATGGACGAAAGAATCTTGCGTAGACACGTTTGACGCCATGAACTGCCAGGCAGCAAGGGATTTCTGCGATCAGGAACTACAAGAACCTTTCTTTGATACGGGTGTGCTCAATGTCTATCTCATTAGCAGTAGCATCTCACCCGCGCTTTCCTCATTTTCTAGGAAAGAATCCATATGACATTAGCAAAGACTGCGAAGGTGACATTGGTGACACCTTGTGCTATCCTGTGACCAAGTACGTACACATTCCTTTTTGATTATTTTTTACATCTCTCACATCTTCAATAACCTCTCTCGTCAGGTTCATTTCCCAGTATCTCGACCAGGTAGACGTGCGTGAGACACTTGGTGTCGACCCCTCTGTCGGGAACTTCTCGTCTTGCTCCGGTCCAGTTGGATCAGCATTCACAGCCGCTCTAGACATCTACCACGAGACATACACACATGTCGCACAACTGCTGGAGCGCGACGTGCGTGCATTGATTTACGTTGGTGACTACGACTGGATCTGCAACTGGGTCGGAAACGAACGGTGGACTTTGAACTTGGAGTGGAGTGGAAAAGAAGACTTCGTGGCTCAGGAGTTGCGCGATTGGGAAGTCGATGGGAAGTCGGCAGGAAAAACGAGAAGTGCGAGTGGGCTGACGTTTGCCACCATCCACGGTGCAGGACATATGGTAAGTTTTGACGTATCCTGTCGGGTAACGTTCACTAAAGGCGCTGGTAGGTTCCCTATGATAAACCACAGGAAGCTCTTCAGCTCGTGAACAGATGGTTAGCTGGAGGTGATTTGTGATCGAACAGCGAGTCGACATGAAGTGCACTGGGTAAACAGTGTCTCATGTATTTACCGTACTTACGCGTGCCTACACAATCACACTCCATCGTTTCGTGGGCTCGGAGACATTCCGTCGCATTCTTTTGGTGGCTACGAGAGCTTCAATACTGTTTATCGTCAATCAATGTGATTGCTAGAGCGCGATGAGTGCGTGCACTTAAATTTCATGGAAATTATGACTGAATAGCTGGTACGAAACGCGATGAGGTTGACATTTGTCCATGGTTCCACACAGGATCTCCAGGCATTCTTGCATTGGTGGTCTAATTCAGCTCGTCAACATCCAAACTGTTACAGGTACCACCAGACTATCCAAACTGGGTATAAACGGTACTTACACTTCAACGGGGTCTTCTGTCTGGTCGAAAAAATCTTTGTTAAGTTCTAAAATACGCTGGAGGACCATTTCGAAAACACCAGGGCTATCGCCGTCCAAAATGTGAAGGGCACCTGCTGAAAAAATATCCAGTAGTTGTTGCTTCAACCCTCTCTGCACCGGCGTATCCGAGTTACTATTCTCTCTGACGTGCTCACTACTGTCCACATCGACAGCCATGCGATGGTCTTCTTTCCTGTTGTTGCTATCGCCACGGGCGACCTCATCGTTGCCTTGACTAGGAGAGTAAGTAGGATTGCGTGGATCTTCAGAAGGCGACATGTTTAGTCGATTTATCTCCCCGTAGTACCAGTATGGTCCTACAGCTGCGATACATCCAATTACATTCAAATTTTTATCTTCTGCAAATGCGTGTTCGGCTTGGTCGCCCATTTGTCCTGTTAAAGTACTGTGGAGCTTCTGCCAGACAAGACTCACTGCCATGAGACTTTTCATCGGCTTTATCTCATTGATCAAGATGTGCCGCGTCCGCACAACCTGGAGTATTCCATCGGCCCCATCTGCTAGCTCGCAGGCCATGTGGAGAAAATCTGGAATTAGGGTCGATTTAAATCGTCTGTGCTGCCTGACCATATAACCGACATCCCCCTGCAGAGTATAACGCATCTCTGGTACCAAGGAAGGTGGTGAAACGTTCTGAATTATAAAGGGATCGTCCTTTGAAGCAACCCTAACAGCAGCCTTGTCAGGAGATGAAACACGACGAGCCGGGATATTCAATTCATCGGTTTCGGGGGACGGTGGAGCATCAGAGAGAACTAGAGCAAGTGGAAGCACTGTGATGATTTCTGGAAAAGGCGATTTGATCAGCCGACACTGTAGTCGAATTTGAAGAACCTTGATTGTCCGCAAGGCGCTGTGATACGTGGGGGATCAGAGTCGGTATATGGGGGGATGTACTGATGGAGTCCAAGTCATTTTCCGAATCATCTGAATCATCTTCATGGATGTCGACGCAGCTAAGTAGAGATAACTGCGGAAATGTGAGAGTGGTGATCGTTGTGGACCGATTGGTACGTTCAGTAAAGCGTAGGAATCTTGGCAACGCAAGAGCCCAAGCGGCATACCAAGGACATTCACGATTATCTGTGTATGCGATAGCAGTGGCAGCAGCAAGCTCTAGATCACTGTTGTCAACTAAGCTGGCTAGTGGACGGTGCACTGGGCGTCCCAATTTCACAGGAGAATCGGATGAAATCTGGAAAAGCGGTCGTGATTGAGCCTGATGTCCCACTCTACGTACAGACGGGGCATTTGTTGGAGTTGAGATTATGGGTGCTTCAGACGAGGCAGACTTGGACGGACTATAAATACGGGGACGCTTTAATTCGTGAGCTGGCAGCATGGCAAAACTTCGCAAAAGGTATTCAGAAGATATGACCCGTTGACTATAGATTATCAACAGGAGCTCACCTAAAGTCTACAATTGGGGAGATGGAACGCCATTTCTCATAAGATCCATTCATTTATAAACCCTTGAGAGGTCGCACAAACAATATTATAGGGGCTGATGGACATTCTGCTGACTGCACAAATGAAAACACAATCAGGATGATTGACCTCGTGTGGACAGCGAAGAGAAGAAAGGGGGTTGACGGAGTATGTAAGGCATGTCATGGAGTATGATGGCATACGAATCACAGCGACTCGGAATTCTAGAAGTTAATGTCCCTCGAGTTCTAGCATTTTTCACAGACGGTGGCAGGCAGAGTATTCGAGGCAGGTCTTTTGAGTCTTCGGCCGCACATCAACCTATAAGTCCCGATGATTCGATGAAGACACGAGCATTTGCAGGAATATGCAAGCACAGAAAATGGGCCTGCTAACATTTTCAGGAAGTACAGTCACGGAGATTGAGATGATACATACGGACCTACAAGTATGCTGATTGGTTATTGATACGAACATTTGCGGGAAGCTGTAAGCATGGCGGACGACACATGTTGATGGATCTGGGTTAAGAGTTGGTCCGAGTCCTATCAACTCAGATAAACATGGACCTACATTCAGATTATTATGTAATTCTGGCGAAATTACTTCAAGTTCAGGCTCTGGTTCCAGTCAAACCATCGTGACGCCACTTCAAGTTCAAGTTGAACTCACCCAATCACATCTACTAATTACAATCATTGTTACGACTTCTCTGCTAAAAAGTCAACATGGCTGAAGCATTACCTCTTGAATTCCAACAGCTGCAGGTATCTTTATTCGGCAATTATTCACTAGCATGCCACACACCATTAATTCTTTTTGGTCTCAGCTTGCAGAACCAAGTACTGACGGTGCCTTTGCTCGGTATAACGCTTTTCTGGTGTCAAAGAAGGGGTCGTAGGCTGAGGCGGATCCAGGTGGACTGCCCATATCGGGAAGTTTGGCCTTTCTAGTTTGCTGGAACTTGGGAGTAGTCGTTGAGAAAATATGATTAGCTGATTGAGGTTATCATCAAAGACTCACCTAAGGTCCTCTTTCAGGGACATGCGGAACACACATTTTCATAGCACCCGCATCCATATAAAATATAAATGAGCTGTATAAATAGACAATATATCAATTTAGTATTCTGTTGACATGTACGGTATAAGAAGTTTGAATTTGACTGCGTGTGGACAGTTAGGAGCTGATGGAAAATGTATCGAGGCATGATGCACAATGCGGCACAGGATGGATTCTGGATACGCATGCAATGCAGTAATCTGCGAGTACAATGGACTCCGGAAGCTGATGCCTTCTAGCGTCTTTCACGGACGGTGGCAGGGATAGAATCTAAAAAAGTGGATTAAGACGTGAGCGATCGCTAGAAGGTGCCTGCAAAATTAATAAGCCAGTTAGTGTCTTCGGTGATGGTGGCAAGCAGTGATTAGCTGCATGGTCGCGTGAAATTTGCCGTAGATAGGTATTCTGCGAAGACATTGGGACAGCAAATTCTCCCCAATGTCTTTTTGTCAATGTGAAGACGACCTATAAGAAGGTTTTGGTAAGCTATAAAGATTCACAGCAAATATTATTATGCTCACTGGAGCTCCTTAGCCCCTTGGCGCAAGCATGAGCGTGGCGAATCTCATCCTATAATCTTGCATGCATGCGAGTCACGGTCCCGTCTTCTCTGTCAGAAAAAATTGCAGACAGGTGTCACCCAATGTCCTATCAGGGATCTTCAGTGACGACTTGATATTGCGCTATCTGTACTCGAGCCTGGTCACATATTTCTGGTACAATCTCTGCTACCTGCTTTTCTGTTGAAATACTGATATGGCTGAGGCATTACGGCTACAGGTATGTCTTTTCACCCATTATTGATTATCTGTATCACATGCCACTCACCCTACCCGTTTCTCAGTTTACAGAAGCTAGCGGTAATCCGAGTCATGCTTCTAGCGTGCCTTCCAAAGTCGATGCGACTATTTGCCAACCCATCGAGACAGCGGACTCGATAACTACACATGTGGTCATTGAACCCGAACCACCTATACCTGCACACATGCACCTAGCACGATACCCCCCAGTGCCCCGTGTTGAGTTCACCGGAGACCGGTACTGTATATGCGCCATTCTTTACAACAGTAGCAGATGTTACCTTGCTTTCTTTTTCTAGGCAAGAGCCCATATGACATGAGCAAAGACTGTGAAGGCGACTTCGATGAAACCCTGTGTGCTCCCGTGTTCAGGTCTCCATTATTTTTCTTCTATGCCTGAAGCCTGCTGAACTTCCAAGGGAGGTAGACGGGAAGTCGGCAGGGAAGAATCGAAGTGCGAATGGGCTACATATCAATAGTCGCTAAAAGCGCTGGTAGACCCCACATGACCGTGACAAGCCGAAAGAGGTACTACAGCTTGTGACCAGATGGCTATCTGGAGCTGATTTGTGGCGGTCAGCTGCCATGGACTCAAGTCAGGATATATACCACATTTGTAGGCAGTCAGGCGTGTATGATACTTGTGCGAGTCGTGAACCGAAGCTGGTATATTTTGGCCACCATCTGAGTGTATCGACTCTAAAAAAATCGAGGCAGTTGAGTGGTTGAGTGGTGATGAGCTGTATAAATTACACGTGAAACATGTAGAGCTACAAGCGTCTTCATCTTAGCACTCCACGACGTCCATTAGTGGTGTTATGGACCTACCAAAATAAATCTTACAAATTGGCCGCCAATGCCATGGTTTCCCCTTTCTTTCTACACTTTTAGTTCCCAACTCACTCCACAACCACAACCACTACCCTGCGCCTGTGGATTATCCAACACACGAAAGCTACTCCCAATAAGTTCGGTCGCGAAATCTATCGTGGAACCATTCAGAAGTGTCATCGAGACGGCATCCACGTATATATTTGATGGCTTTATCTGAGGATGGCTAAAATGGCTAATAGAATGGAATATATGCGTCAGTCAGCGCACGAGGTGAAGGTCAGGTGGAGCTTACTAATCATCAGGCTCTCGTGCCTTCGCGAGCTCCATTGTATACTGATATCCATGGCAGCCACCAGACTGGACAGCTATCCGAAGAGCAGCATCTGAGTTACGTTCTCGCGTTGATATTTGACGCAGTTGCTAAAGGAGACGGCATAAAAGTTAGACGTCCGCACCGATGCGAGATAAATACACACACACCTCTGCAGCCCGCTCTGTAACTTCAACATGCACATCCTGCGGCGATATCAGATCTATCTCAACCTCTTGCTCCTCTAATTGTTCTTGTGTAGGTGAGATCACAAGTATCGTGGGTTGTTTTGGGGGGTGGGACGCAAGGGCGGCACTTCTTGACCAAGTGGAAGAGAAAGTCCGCTTTCTTTGGTGGATAGAAGAGCTTGCGTTCAGGTATGCAAGCGATTCTCTGCGCATACAACGGGCATTGGCGCGCCAAAGGGAAGAAGAAAGACGAAATGCTCGGAAAGACATGGAAGTGCTCATGATGAAGGTGCCTGCAAGAGAACCGGGACGGATTTAGTCAGCCACATTTCATATGCCGCTGAGCTTTAATTTGTTACGGCAGTTTGCGGCCGTCTTTTGACGCACAAGAAATGAACTGAAATTCTGGAATGGATGAGATCTGCTTCATCTACACAAAAAAGTAAGAATACAAAGTATCAAAAAGGAATTCACGGCGATCGCTATCAGGGTGGTAGATCCCTACAATTTTTTTCCACAAACAACAACGTAGTATGACATATCGCGGGGGGGCATAGAAAATAGACCAGAGTCTTGCGGCGAAAAGATCGCCAGCGAGACTCGCCTACAGTGACTAACGAATTTAAGAAGTATATACGCAAGTCAAGAATCAAAGAGTTAAGAAGAGTAACAGGGAAACAAAGCCTGAAAGAACTGAAAAGGTTTCTAGTCTCTGGGTAGGCGAAAAAATACATGGGCAACGAAGAAAAATCGGAGAAATTTGGTATACACATCCAGAAATGTGATAAAAAGGAATAAAGTTTAGCAGCTATTATGAGAAGAAGTGAATCCAGTGAGATCGAGAGTAAGGTCGCCTGACAAAAGCGAGCGGTGTGATATGTACGAACGATCCTTTATTCCTGTCCTTCTAGAAGTGCGAACTCGTGTGGGGGGTAGTGTGTGAATAGTCGATGGTGTGTGTAGGGGTGATGAAAGTCAGACTCCAACGATTATTGTTTTGACGAAATTAAGGCTATTCGAACGGTTAGTAATAAAATAACACAGAGACAACAAACTGCAAAGCCACAGTCAGAACGAGGAAATAGGTCGTATTCCCTAAGAACTTACCACGTTTGCAAGAACACCGCTGGGCCACTACGTTTTCACAATCACGTTGCAGTACCGTGCTCCAGCATGTTACTGAGCATCTCCTCGTAATTATATTTGTCACCTGCGTAACTGCTCACACGCTTTTGAGCTAGGAAAGCTGGAAGCGCTTGGCCTGCTTCACGCAAGCAGTCAACTGGAATCAAGCCCTTCGCACCATCTTCATTCGACCCAACCCGCTCGACGAACGTCCAACCATCATCGAACACCTTCAGGATACGAACAGAGTCGCCAGGGGAGACACGCAGCTCATCCTCCAGAGTGGGGGCGAAGGGTCGGCAGATAGTCTCTATGGCTGCGAACTCGGCAGCTGCGGCAACAGGGTCTGGTTGCGAGTGTGGGTCAGCGAACGGGTTGCTGGCAGGGGTGGGTTCGGTCGGGGAAGGAGTCTGACGTGTCAGAGTAGGTATGGAAACGGCCGCGGGCATCGCATAAGGCTGGGAGTTCATCGGGTGCACAAGAGTAGACTCGGACGTCTTGGGAGACAGCATGCGGGGACTGAAGGAAGCCGAGTCACTGGACAAAGGACCTGCATCTCCACTCTGTGAGGGAGGCTTAGGGAAGGCGAATGATTCTGACGGCGAGAAGGGGCGAACGGACATCGGAGTAGAGACTTCCTGCCCGATGCGATTGACATCAGGAGCGAGGAGATACTGGGAATTGTCATCGCTTCCGTTACTCATCATGCTGTTCATCGAGGACCTGCGAGCAGCGGCACTAGCAGAAGGGATAAGATGGGAGTTGCGTTCCCGCACTTCAGCCATCGGGGGAAGGTTTGGCGTGACAAGGGCTGAGTTAAAGGGAACGGCTGTGGTAGGCGAGTCTAGTGGGAACATTACGCCTTGGTCGAAGTTAGTAGCGAAGCTGCTTCGTGCGCTGGCGATCCCGGGATCAGCAGAACCAGGCGCGCTTTGTCTACCATCGCTGCCCGGAGCTCCTGGAAGAGAGAAGTTACTGGAGTCACGCCCGCTGAACCACCATCTGTTGCGTCTCTCACTGCGGCGAGCGATATAACGTTTACGGACGAAGAACAGGATAATGAATAGGAGGAAGAAGAAACACACGACGACTATGGCAGCTATTCCACCAGTAGAGATGCCTTTGTGCTCGACAGCTGCAGAACCTGTGAAACCGGTGGGAGATGAAGGGTCACCTGTGATGGTGCTCGAGGAACCTGGGTAGATCGTGTCACCATAACTATTGGTACCAGATGCGACGGGATAGCCAGGCGTGTACGTAGTGGTGGCTTGCTCAGAGCTTGCAGAAGCTCCCGAGTTCGAAGATGCAGAGCCAGCGCCAGAGCTATTTCCATTGCCAATGACAACGCCAATACCATCACCACTGTTTTCTGGTGTATTTCCTGCACCAGCGCCGTAATTGGTGTCGTTGGGGTTACTTTGGCCACCATTGGCACCGCTGCTGCTGCCTGATCCTGATGCTCCACCAGAACCAGATGAAGCAGATGGAGATGGGGGAGAGTTTGCACTGGCACTGGGGCTGGGATTGGTAGAGGCTTTGCTTGCAGATGGCTGTGGTGTCGCTGCACTCGTCTGTTTCGGCGATCCCCCGCCAGTCGTTGGCTGGGTCACAGGTGGAGGCGGCGCTGCAGAAGATTTTGCACCACCACCGTTCCCGCTGCTCCCTCCGCCGCCGCTTGGCTGGGTTGAGGTAGGCGCGGGCGCAGGCGCAGGCGTGGTTGGCGTCGACTGGTTCGTAGTCGTGGGTGCTGGCTGAGCAGCTTGATCGTTGCCACCAATGAGAGGAGTGAGGATAGAATTGAGGACCGGGATGGATGGGAGGTTGATGGGGAGGTCGATGAGAGATGGATCGCGTTCCTCAAGTGCGAGCATGTCGCGTTTGATATGGTGTTTTGTAAAGCCTGAAGAACGCATTTTGTATATACCGAATGCTAGTCAGACCAGCGAAAGAGTGTATGTACGAAAAGAGTGTGTATGTCCTAGGACGACAAGGGCAGAGAGGACGTGGTCTGACCGTCGTCTCTCGCCAGCGAAGGAGTACTACGGGGGAAGTAGAAGGATTGGAAGGGAAATGAGAAAAGAGCAGACCCACAAGGTTTTTGCGGGCATGGCATATTGATAGCAACCTGATTACAACAAAGCGTGTAACTGATATTACTTCCTCATGCCATCCATTGCAACCAATCTCGGCAACATGCGCTCAGCCCAGACCACATTCCCATATCGTCCGCATATCATTCCCCATCACTCCAATCCGTCGCGAAGGCTCTTTTTCATATACTTTTCATCACTCATCAATCTTTTATGCACAGATCCAGTCCTCATCGTCGCGGCCAACAGCGAACACAAGCCGATGCCATACCCGTAGCGGTCATCCATGGAATGACCACTCGACTAACCTCCTCAATCCGCCATGGCATTTGGCCCCACATGCGTAAATTATTAGCCATCCCACAAGAAGGTGGAGAAGATACTACGGCTGTGGTGTATTTTTGTGGCAAGCGATTCAATTATCTCCAAAACCATCACAGAATCCGCTGTTTCGCTGTTAACCCTTCCATAGCGCCGTCACGTCTACAGATTGAAATTCCTGTCTGGCGGTGACAGCCTTGGCATTGACGCCTCCTAGGCACCCGCTCAACAAATCTACTGCCAGTGATGGATTGCTTCCGTGTCTCGTTTCAGAAAACCTGGTCTCTCAGGCCGTCAAATATCCATCCTCACAGGTCCCGCGGTCGATTCTTGCGTTCTCAGGCATGCCATCGTCCAATGTTACCATACCAAGCAACTCTATGTACTCTATCTATATATTCTCCTCCTCAGCTTCTGCCTCCGTTTTTTCTAGGACGATGTCGCTCCATATTACTCGGTTAGCAAGTTGTTGATGAGCCCGTCCCAGGCTATCTTCTCGCCGGTGAGATTTCTGCCACTGAAGGTTCGTGAAAAAATGAAAAAAAAAATTAACCCATGGCTCGACGATTATGTCTTGCCACATCAATCGAGCGCTGATCAACCTACTACACTTCTGCGGAAGAGCAACTCCTCCAATGAAAATATCCGCTATTCTCGAATCTACATTATCGCCCTCTCTTCGCCTCGAATATTAACCATATGGGACACTTGTGTGATAGAAACAGAGTTAACTGTGCAGGTTGTTCGGGACTGGATCAAAAGAACCCAAGGCTCTAAATTAATTATCCTCACTATCACCTGCTTGTCCTGGGCGCTTATCAATGACTCTTTCAAGTGCAAGGCCAATCAGAGTACAAGGTCCACTGCAGATGATCAATCGCCGGATGTTCTGGAAAACAAGGGCGTCCATTTCAATTTCATTCATCGCACTATGACGCTATCCGTTCGTTATTCTCTTTCAATTTCCCGTTCATGGATTGCAGCCGCCCATAATAACACCTAGCAACGCGTTCAACCTTCCAACTTGAAGGCTTTGGGATCATATGGCACGGTGGCCCGACGTACTCGGATGCCTTCAGTGACATTCAATCATTGGACCCGAATGTATGCTAACCCCTGTAGTCCTTTTGTCTTGTAATCGATGCGAAATAAGGCGGTGACGGTATGTTCAGGATGAGACGGCTGATCTACCTAGATAAGAGCCCATAAACGGTCAACGCTCACAGCAGAGCAGTACATTTTTTTTAGCTACCTACATGTACGCAATTTGCGACCGGATGGAAATACACAATATGAAAAGGCGAGAGCATCATGAAATCCGAGTCCATGAAGAGAAGGATCTAACGAGACAGTAGTCGTACCTATACTGTTGTAAGTCCATTCTCTTTTCCATTTTCTGCACAACTTTAACTCTCCCCGTACACTAAGCCTAATTGACTCGCAATGAATTCACACTGCGCAGTTCGGTATGGCTCGATCGTTTCGGTATAATTGAGCACTACTTCATTGGACCCAACATAAGGAGGCCACTCCACCGTAGCTCCTGCGTAATTAGGTGTCCCCGTCCAAGCCAACGACGTCCATCGATTAACGATCTCGCGAGTAAACTCTACCCGAGCTGGCGTCAACGGCTGGTAGAGGTTATCCGTCTCTGCAGTGGCGAAAACCCAGTAGAGTTCATCTGCGTGACAAACCTGGCCCGGGCACGTTGCAGGGTTGGGTGTCAAGGGCGAGCCAAGCCCAGTGCCAAATAAAACTTTGTATGAATTACCTGCATTTGTGGTATTCGTTTCGAGCTGGGAGAGATAGCCCATTGGGCAATGGACTTCCCAATCAGTAAGAAGCTGGCCTAGCGTAAGGACAGCACCGGTGATCCCGTCCTCGGCAGGTGCAGTTTGGTATGGGTAGAGAGTTTGCTCATCAAGAATTTTTTGAGCCGAAGAAGTATTGAAGTACTGTGAGATTGTTTCTGGGAAAATGGACGTCGAGGAATTGGGCAATACAGTCGTCGGTAAGAAGTAGCAATATTCACACTGGTTGCTGGACCAGATAGTCGGAACACGCCCGTACATCCCGTCTTTGATGCTATCTTCGATGTCGGTGAGCACATAATCGCCATCGACCACGATATTCCAGGTGAGCCCAAGGTTGTATGATGCCATAGCAATGTTAGCAGCGGGCAATGCTTGAACGCAGGAAGCTACAGAGTCGTTAAACGTGGTCGACGAATTCGATGCACAGCCCAGATATTTGGCGAGCGTAAGAGATGTATTTAAGCCAAGCTCTGGAGAAAGATATGGATTACTTGTACTGAAGTCGGATTCCAGGACTGCAGCACCTGATAAGTGGCTTCAGCAACGGTGAGTGACACCTGGAATACTATAGAGCTCACTGAAGAGTCCGTCGGTGTAGGCAGGATTAGTCCCGAGCAGATATCTAGTCATCGTGCCGCCTGCCGATTCGCCATAGATCAGGACCTTGGTTTTCTTTTACAGAGGCATTGGTCAAGTAGGCTCAATTCTTCATCAGTACAAACACGCACATCTCCGCCGAAAGCCTCGATGTTATCTTGCACCCATTGTAAAGCTAAGAGATTGTCCTTCAATGCAGCATTTGACGCGTTAAACCAACCAAATGCGGTGAGACGGTAATTGACTGTGACGAGGACGACGCCACCATATGAGACGAGGTTGGTGCCATCATATATATTGGAAATTGAGTTTCCAACATAACCGTCCGTGGTCATATTGAAGGGAAATGGACCGCTGTCGCCTGTGTTAAGACCACCACCGTGAACTTTAGTGAAGAACAGGATAAGTGATTCTATAACATTATCATTTGATCAGTGCATGAAACTTACTGAAGAACATAACGGGCAGCTTAGGAGCAGTGTCAATGCTGCTTGAAGCGGATTTGACAACGGGAGTAAACACATTCAAAGAAAGACAGTCCTCTCCTGAATAAACAAGATGACCGTTGTCCGGATCTGGAGGCTTGAATTTATGAAAACGTTAGAACTTATACAAGATCTGGTTGTGATGTGGGGTATACCTGAGCACATAATGGTCCATATGCCAAGGCAGATCTCACAGAATCAGATGATACACTCAAGGCTGTCGGAGGTTGGAACCTTGCTTCTCCTGTGGTGGGCTCAGCATATTTTATACCCAAAAATCGCCAGCTAAATTTATCACGATACCCTTCCAAGATACCAGCCGAATTCGTTGCGATCTCAATTTGACGAGAAGTATCAGCGGTCACATTGGAACGTGTGAGTGGTGCTGAATTGGTACAGAGCACTGGGAGACGGTCGCTCAGATCTACTATCACATCCGTCGTGTTTGAATACGAGAAGTCTGGGACGAAAACAGAACATTCGTCTTGGAAAGAAAAGACTTGTTTTCCCAGCAGGACGTGGTAAGTGATATAGATACTCACCTTGTCCAGCCATCAGGATTTTCTGAGATGAGTCACGGGCAGCACCGTGCTTCTAGGAAGTAAACGCCCCGGATAAGTCGCTAGCAGTCAAGCCAGTGCAGTCGGTGGGAACTTGAAGTAGCGTCTAGAGAGCCACCTTCCAGCCCGTGATTCACTAGAGTCAATCTGCACGCAGCCAGC